GTCATTCCCAAATATCTGAAATGTGCCACATTTTCAAAACATCTGTTACTATCTTTATGTCATTATTTTGCCCTGCATTTTGGTGATGAGAGAGCAACATATACTTAGTTTTCTCTGTGTTTACTTCTAGACCAACCTCCTTACTAGCATCAATTAAAGTTTCTGTGTTTTTCTTTATGGTATCTATATTATCACCAAGTAGATTCAAATGATCAGCATAGACCAACAGCAACCCATTTAATTCCAGTCCCACCCGGTTTTCTTGGACCTTCCTAATGGCAGATTCTAAAGCAAAGTTGAAATGCAGTGGCTAAAGCATCTCCCTGTTTTAGACCATTCTGGATAGGAAAATTATCAGACAGATGCTTACCTATACGGACTTTACCATACATTTCGTTTAAACATATTTTATTCAGCGTAACTCAGTGGTTCTCAAACTGTGTGGTGCAAAGGGCTTGAAAGGGGGCCACAGAATACTTTCTATAGATAAAAATTAAAACTGCCCTAAATCAATTAGAAAAGTAACAAAAAATAAAAATACATATAGAAACAACTTTTGATGAGTACAGGCTTTGATTATCATGAATTTCAAAATAACTAATAATTATTCTCTTTACCGGCAATTCTAGTAAAACGTGTATGCCAGAGACAGCGTTGATAGTTTGGAAGCAGCCGCATCCTCTGAAGTCTAGACTTTTTAAAATGCTATGTGAGGAAATGGGCACCAAACACACTGCTCTGTTGTTTTTTAGTGATGCTCCATGGCTTTCAAGGGACACGGTATTAAAGAGAATGTTTAAGCTGAGGCATGAGGTGTTCTGTTTTTTAAATGGGGAAAATCACTCACTGGCAGACAGTTTCAGCAACAAGGATTTTTTATTGAAAATGGCTTACCTCACAGATATATTTGAGAAACTAAATATCCTCAACACTACACTTCAAGGGAATGAGTCAACTGTACTTTCTTGGAATGACAAAGTGAAGGCATTCGTGAGAAAATTAGAGCTCTGGAGAAACAGTATGGAAAGTGACATGCTAGACATGTTCCTTACTCTAGTGTCAATGGTACAAGACACTGATAATCCAGTGCATCCAGTGCTTCCAATGGACATAAAAAGCTGCCTACTTGATCATCTCATAATGTTGAAAGTTCATTTTGAAAAATACTTTTGCAATGATTTTGATAACTTTAATTGGATTAAAAATCCATTCAAAAATGCTCCTGGGCCATCATCTCTGAATGTAAATGATTAAGAACAACACATCGATCTCACTAGTGATACTTCATTAAAAAGTAAATTTAAGGAATTGTCTTTGTTGGAGTTCTGGATACATATTGGCAAGGAATTCCAAACTCTGAGCCAAAAAGCACTGAAAATCCTGATTCCTTTCGCAACAACTTACTTCTGCGAGACAGGCTTTCCTGCTTTGGCAGCTATAAAGTCAAAGTATCATTCAAGGCTAAATATTGCTAAAGAAGTTAGAGTGGCCATTTCTGATATTACGCCACATTTTGATAAACTTTGTTTTCAAAAGCAGGCCCATCCATCACATGAACTTTGACATTTAAATGTTTGATTTTCATTGCAGAAAAAAATTAAATACTTGTCAGTTAAATATCGTTTCATTTCAATACATATTTTGGTTAATTGCAAGTGTTAAAACTAATTTTTATTGTACGCCTAGTATTGTGATACTTTAATTTTGAGTAAGAAAACTGCTAAATAGTATGTAGAAAAACACAAAATAAACCAAATGAAATGTCAAACATACCATGACTTCTATTTTGATAAAAAAAATAAACAGGCTGGGGGCCTGAGAGTATTTTTCTCTTCTCAGTGGGGGCTCAGAGGTAAAAAGTTTGAGAACCACTGGCCTAACTAGTTTCATGGGTACTCCAAACTCTATCAGAATATTGTACAATACTTCTCTCCTAACTGAATCATAGGCTTTCTTGAAGTCTACAAATAGCTGACATACTGTCTCACTGTACTCCCATTGTTTCTCCAGTATCTGATGAATGCAAAAGATCTGATTAGTAGTTGATCTGTTATGTTGAAACCCACACTGGTGATCCCAAATAATTTCATCTATGTATGGACTTAACCTTGAAAGAAGAACACTAAACAATAGTTTGTAAGAAGCTGATAGCAGTGATACCCCATGATAATTACTCGTACTACAGTCAGTTTTATCACCCTTCTTGTGAACTGGTAAAATAACAGACTCCTTCCACTGATCAGGCAATTTTTCCTTCTGCCAAATAAAAGTAATTGACTGATGGATCTTAAAACGTAATATTTTGCCTTCTGCTTGAAAAAGTTCTGCAGAATTTGATCACTACCTGGCGATTTATACATTTTCAATGTTGCAATAGAAATTTCTACCTCAAAAGGGCTACAAGCAGATATTAACAGCTCAGCTGTATGTATTTCTATGTACCTAACACCACTGACCTTTTTTACATTCAATAACTGAGAGAAGTAGTTCTTCCACCTATTCAAAATGTTGTGGGAATCTGCAAACAGATGACCATTCTCATCCTTCACTAAGTTACTTCTACGTTGGTAACCCTTTTTAAAGTCATTTATTTCTGTATACAGGTCTCTAATGTTCTTGTTCTTACTGTTCGTTGCAAGCTCATCAATTTTGTCTTTCAGATATTCCCCTTTCTATTCCTAAAATGCCTGCTGGTTTCACGTCTTCTATTGTTCAGATTATACCCATTTATTTTGCTTGGATACTGTAACCACTGCAATTGCACTTGTTTTCTTCGGTCCAATAATTTTAAGCATCCTTCATCAAACCATGGCTTATGCTTCTTCAGTTCATAATAACCTAGACACTCTCTGGCACAAATTTTTATATTCTAATTGTTCCCAAGCTTTATTAACATCCACCTCAGAGTTCAAGTTTTCCAAAACTGAGAAGCTATTTGAGATTTCAACATGATACTGCCCTTTACCCTCTTCCTCATTTAATTTCTTGAGATTGAACCTCTCCATATGAACTCTGTGCATTGTTTGTTTACTCACAGCCAGTCTTTCCCTAACCTTCGCCACCACCAGGTAGTGGTCAGTATCACAATTTGTTGCCCCGAATGACTGGACATCAAGTATACTTCAGTGCCATCTCCTGTCTATCAAAATATGGTCAATCTGAGTGTGTGTCTTCCCATCAGGAGATGTCCAAGTAAATTTATTAATGTTACGATGTGGGAACATTGTATTTTGACAGTACAAGTTTTTGATGTGGTGAAGTTTACTACTCTAACTCCATTATCATTACTAATTTCGTGGAAACTCTCATTCCCAACTGTTAGTTTGAAAACGTCTTCCCTGCCTCCTTTGGCATTGAAATCTCCTAACATGATTTTCATATGGTACTTCAGGAATTTATCAAATACAAGTTCTAGTTCTTCATAGAATCTGTCCTTTATATCATCAATTTTATCCTCAATTGGGGCATGAACATTCAGAACGATGATATCACACCAGTAACCTCTTAGTATTATGTATGACATCTTATCACTAACGAACTCAACCCTCTTAACTGCTGATATGATTCTCTTATATACAAAAAAACTTGTACCTACTTCCTGATCCTCTTTCCCTTTAAATAGAAGAAATGTAAAAATAAATATCAGAATATACAGAATTACAGTTTTGCCTGTCGTTCTGTATGGATGTGAAACTTGGTCTCTGACATTAAGGGAAGAACATAGACAGGGTGTTTGAGAACAGGGCATTGAGGAGAATATTTGGACTGAAAAAAGATGAAATGACAGGAGGTTGGAGAAAACTGCATAATGAGGAGCTTCATAACTTTAACTCCTCTAGAAGTATAATTAGATTGATCAAGTTAAGGAGGATGAGATGGACAGGGCATGTAGCATTGGTGGGAAAACCAGATGGAAGGAGACCACTGAGAAGACCAAGGCGTAGGGAGGTGGACATGATTAAAAATGGATCTTAGAGAGATAGGATGGGATGGGATGGATTGAATTGATCTGGCTCAGGATAGGGACCAGTCAAGGGCTCTTGTGAACACCGTAACAAACCTTTGGGTTCTACAAAATGCTGGGAAGTTCTTCAGTAGCTGCACAATTGATGGCTTCTGAAGAAGGGCTCAGCTCCATGAATGAGTGAGTGAGTGATGTCACAATATTCTGAAACAGCTGGCAATGAAAGATCTTTCTTATTGTATCTCCCCCACCCCAAAACTATTCTCTTAATAAATCAGGGCACAAGAACATTGTGTCATCAACAGAGTTCACTTAATTTTTAAAGAACAGAAATTAGCAGTTAAGCAACACTTGTCAAATATATGTTTACACAAATTCAGAAATGGAAGAAAGGCAGTGGTTACAATGGAAATTCATAAAAAGCATTCTTAGAACTGAAGAATTTGCTAATCTAAACATTATTAAACTGACAGTGTATAAGAAAATGTTCATTAGACCAAACATCTCGTTACAAGTCACACTTGTTACATCAAACCTCTACTGTACGCTAATAATTTCATAAAGTCACATTCATTTTATTATTTCCTAGCAAATTGGATGTGCAGTTTAATCAGGGTGGCTGGGCATTGAAGATGATGTTAAAAATACATTCCAATCAGATAAGAAAATTTTTTGACAGCTCAACACTAACAACTATAACAAAGTCAGGAAGTTAATTTCTGTACCAGTAGCAGAACTTTCAATCACTTATGCTCCACCTAGATCCAATTTTCAAAACTGATTTCAGAAACTGCCTTTACAACAAGATGCTCTGGAAGCTGAACCTGATTATGTACTTTATTCTACTGACACAGTGGGCTACAGAATTGATGCAGATGCCTCCAAATCCATCTGTGAATATGTCTGCCAAAATTAACATCAGCATTCGTAATTCTTGTGTGACTTTCTATCAGAGAGCAACCCAAGTTCTTGTGTGCAATAACAGGGAAGTAGAGTGATCAAATGTGATGGATACATTCAATGAAGTGTATCATACCTGCTTGCGTGACAGGCGCGTAATACTGCTGCCTTGAATAATAATGTCCCTGTCTTCAATGTCCATTCTTTGTTGAAACTGCTGCCGCTGTCGTCTTTCTTCTGAAGTCCCCTCTCGACTCACTGTGCGACCTTCACGCTCCTCTCTATCAATCACCTCTTGAAGTTTTTTCTTAACAGAAAAAAAATACATATTGTGATGTGTTATCTTACGTCCATCGCCACGACAACCGCTACAACTGGAATGCACACTTCCACGATAATGAATACGTGCAAATTGTGGAGTTCCTGCAGCGACAAATCGTCGTTGAGTAACAACGGACGAGACGAAACACATTACGGGTGTATTCTATAAGGAGTGTTCGTGAAGCAATGGATTGCAGAACATGTGAAATTGAACCTTGGTGAGGGGTCCCCTATCGAGTCCGCGTGCGGCTTATGTAAAGGATCCGGTCTCGAATGGAAGTTGTGTATTGAGCCAGAAGTCAGTCTTAAGAGTGTCACCATTGAAGGCAGTCTAGTATTCGCCGAGATATAGCGGAAGCAGTGATTGTGATACTGCAAGTAATAATAATTGTAGTGTGTGTGAATGTAGAAACAAAGCACAATAAATCTTCGCTACATCCTTGACGGCGTGACGTTATTTGTTGCGTGACACACCCAACAAGTGACAACTGGGGTCAGAAGTGGGACTGGACACACATAACCAACGGGATCGAGATTAAACATGAAAACCACACACAAAAAAATGGAGTCTCAACAAATAATGGAACTGTCAATGTCAAAAATGTTTCAGTAAATCACTGATTTCTTTCCTTACATTATTCAAGTTTAACATAACACAGGATATGCTCAAATTTAGGATGACAGGTGAATTTGAATGACAATAATGACTGTCACTGACGATACAAAATAATGTTGAAAATATGTTATGTCAAGTACTTCACTACTGGCAATCTTCATGCTGTCACATCCTAAGGGGGCGTATCGTGTAAGAGACAGGAACAATTTCACAGGCATATGCGCTCAAAAGCTTGACATTCATTTTACTCTCCACCTGAAAGCTTCAATCCAGCCAAAAGCTTGGGTATTCAATCATTCCTAATTGTTGTATATAGTAAACACTGCTGTTGCCATCTATCTGTTTATTTAATGATATTTTAAGTTAACTGCATGGGATGATTTACCATCCAATGACAAGACAATCTGAAATGATGTACTGGGAACAATGTGGATATATTGTGACTTTCAGTATGCAGAGAAAGAGACAGAAAGATGGAAAATAATCAATGCTGAATAAAATTACAAAATAAATCTACTCACAATGCAGTCCACTGTATCAAAGTATATGAAGCAGAGGTTCACTTTGTGACATGACAGCTTTCCTCTGTCATCCAAGCCCAAGATGATCTTGTGTCTTAGCAAGTGCTTGTTTACTTGAGCCATGCAACGTTCTAAATTGTGATTCAACTGCAAGCAGAACATAGATCCATACCATGCCATTATACAAACTTCATGCTCCTCACCTAAAACTAAAAGGTTTACCAAAATGTTATACATTTCCTCTCTCTATGTTAGGCCATAATAAGTAGAACCTGAAAGTTGAAATTGGACCTGCCATTCATTAAATTCTGACCTACAGAGAAGAAATGCATTATAGATCTAACTTAATGAGAATAATGCTGGGGGAAAAAGAAAAACATTGATAATATAAAAGACATGCTATTTTCATACATAAGTTAATCAGACAAAGAATTATGAAACTTTTCCCTGTATATCTGACTTCACCTATCTTTTACATGCTTTCAAATACAACTGCTGAAGCATATCTATTCTATAGTGTCCCCAGTCTTTCCTTTTATTATTCATTTACTAGTAAGTAATCAGCATTACAGTCAGTATTTCTGCAGTCTTAGAGAGCCGTCATACCTGACTGACCTCTTTTATCGATCCAATTATCTACTGTCTCAGCAGAAGCTGAAATGTATTTATGTATATTACACAGTGGATATTTTTTGTTCATGATAATACATTCTTTTCAGCAACACAAAGTTTACTCATTTGACCTTGTCATAATTCCATATTAATAGCTTCAATATACAGTATACATATGCCAGAATGAGTATGGCTTATAACACAAACTTTGTTACAGTGACAAAAATCACCAGCACTGTCAGTTTCTTAATATTATATATACCTGGAATAAATGTCACACAAAACAAGGTTTCCTCCTTGGAACCTTCACCTTATGATCAATTCCTAAGTAGGCATGATTTTTTTTTTGCACAAACTAGATTTGCAGTTTTGCTTCCCAAACTATTTATAACTGATGACCCTAAGGGCGTCTCTCTTGCCTAAGTAAAAAGTCTGCATTCGAGAATATGAGTACTGTGTGTCTGAATAGACAATTTAATTCACACTGATACAGAAGTGCATGAACAGAACAATTCTAGCACACAATCAAAAAACATGCACCAATTGCTTAAAGTGTTACATAGTTGTAACCAGGGACAGTGCTTCTAAGACCATATTTAGCATGATGTGACAGCTTCATGACTTGGTCCACTCTAAATTTTAACCAAAGTAAAATGTCTATTATGTAGCAAAAACTGAACTTCTTTTCAGTCCAGTATCTTGTTTGAAAGTGCACTCTGTTATCTGGTTAGCAAATATGACCTGGGAATCCCTCTGTCAGTGTGCTAAATGTTGTTTAAGCTAATAAGTGTTCAACCCTAACTATGACAACAAAATGGAAATGTTCAGATTTGAATACAAAGCCTGAGGTGACATGTCACTGTAAAGTCAGCAGTTTGTCAAAAAGAAAAACAGAAATACAGTACAGATTGACACTATTTACTGTTTTGAAGAATAAATTCAAAATACATACAGCTATTCTGTGCATCTGGAGACTAGTGACAGACACAAATACACAACAAGAACAGAATAAGGATTTATAGTCTTCATCATGAGTGGTTTTGCAAGAAAAGACTGGATGTTTTACCAGATGAAAAACTAGTGACAAAGACAAAAACCATCCATTTCACAGCCCGTACACAGGTTGAGAACTTGTATTGTTCCAGTGGGAGGCTTCACTGTTTCAGAGCAAGAGAAGTATCAATATGCAAAAAGTGCTGTTAGAAACTGACAATCACATAATGCAAGAGTCAGTTCATCTTAACATGTCTGTGCATTGTGGGCATTCAACATATAATTGCTATGACTTTTGCTTGTAAAAATAGCTCAGCTGTTAAGTGCAAGAGATTAAGTACATAGGCAAAAATCTTTAGCCTCTTGGTTTAAATGGTGCCAAATATTTCTGCTTCCTACGTTTGTTACTTTTGCATCCTCACTTACAAAAGAATAAATATTGCCATACCCACCTTAATTTGTTTAAACCTTTGTGCCAAACTGTGATATAGGCTATGCAGTTAAATATTAGAAGACAAGATTTTTAAAAATTACATATTTCAATCATTTTTTGCATACTACAAGCAAGGTGCAGCCTTCATATCATAACAATTTATAATATCTGTAGAAATGGTCATTATAATGGACACTTATAATATTAAAAAATTGTTGAAAAATGTAAGTACATGTTCCTCCCTCAAATTCCAATTACATATAATACAACGTGGAACCAAGATTTCAAAAATGTGGTTACAGTAATAATTCTTCTTCTTTGAAATGATTATCATGCAGATATGAAAACGACAAAGAATAATTTAACACTGTCATCATTGTTACAATTATATGAACTGAAAAGTTAAAGACTTCCTTAAACTTAAATATCCTGTTCACACCCACAACAAAGAGCTTGTGGGAGCTGCCCACATTCAAACAAGCGTGACAACACAAGCTTCATTGCTTAACAACGACGAGTACACAGCGGTTGCTAGGCAAAGCTTACAACAATACTGACAGTGACATGTTTTCTATATGTCCGACTCTAGGCTACATAAGAAGATACACTGAGTTACAGTGACAGTTCACTATTGTTATTATCCATCTGTGTATACTGTGCAGCTGCAATAAATCCTATAGGACGGTTCAACTAGTGGTTGTCTCTTCGTACGACATCCCCACATTGGTGACCCTGACGTGATTGGAAGCGTGCGTGGTGAAGATCATCAACGACTCCCACATTGGTTCATCCCGGCGCAGCATGGACACCGCAGACAACTCACAAGCAGCAGCATCACTTCTCGCAAGGGGGGGAGTGATGTGGGAACATCCCACATCATCATGCATTTGTGCAACGCTCGCTATTCAGCTCACTCTTCACCATTACGCGCACTAACCCATCACATTGCTTCAAACGTTCGCATTTATACAGCGCTTGCGGCTAGCCTGCATCTACATCATTACGCGCGCTAGCCAATCAGCGCTCAGCAAATTTTCGCTCCACCATCGAGCGTCATATAAAAGAAGTAGCTCCGACCCGGCATCTTCAGTGTGTGATCAATCTTCACTCAAGCAACATCCACCAGCACACTTCATCAACAGCGCTGGCGATGAAACCCCAACCGCTGGAAGGGCGAGTGACTCAACTCCAGCAATGTCAACCTCCCAAAACCGCCAGTCAGCTCCGCCGTTTCCTGAGCATGCTGAACTACTGCAGATGATTTCTGCCCCATGCGGCAGCACACCAGGCACCACTGCACAACGTCCTCTCCGGACCCAAGGTCAAGGGCTCCCACCCCATCATCTGGACACCAGAGCTCCACAGGGCCTTCGAAGAGTGCAAGGCGAGTTTGTCACGCGTCACACTACTGGCTCACCCCAATCGATCCGCTCCACTTGCACTCATCACAGATGCCTCCACGTCCGCTATGGGTGCCGTGCTACAGCAACGCGTCAAGAACGCCTGGCAGCCCCTGGCATTCTTCTCAAGGAAACTCAACCCGGCCCAGCAAAAATACAGTGCGTATGACCGCGAGCTGCTGGCCATCTACGAGGCCATAAAGCACTTTCGCCACATGCTGGAAGCGCACCACTGCAGCATTTTCACGGACCACAAACCTATCACCTACGCTTTCCAGCAGAAAAGGGACAAATGCTCACCAAGGCAATTCAACCACCTGGATTTGATAGCACAATTCACGACCGACATCCGACACATCTCTGGACAGGACAACGTTGTTGCTGATGCGCTCTCCCGCGTTGAGTCCGTCACTGCAACACCATCCTACAACGCATTGGCCGCATCGCAGGACAGCGACGACAAGCTCCAATCACTTCGGCAGTCAAACACAGCTTTGTGGCTCAAAAAGCTACCAATCCCCGGTACCACAGTGTCCATCTACTGCGATACCTCTGCCGGGAAACCTTGGCTGTACATCCCAGCTCCTCTACGGTTCGAAGTGTTCCAGTCCGTCCATGATCTGTCGCACCCAGGGACCAAAGCAACGGCAAAACTGGCCGCACAGCGTTTCGTGTGGCCAGGCATACAGAAGAATTGCCACACCTGGGCACATGCTTGCCAGGCCTGCCAGCACTCCAAAGTCTCCCGCCACACAGTCACTCCACTGGGCGACTTTACAACGCCAGCAGCCAGATTTCTTCACGCCCACAGAGACCTTGTTGGACCCCTTCCAACGTCAGGAGGTTACACATACTGCCCCACTGCAGTCGACCATTTCACCCGTTGGCCAGAAGCCATCCCCATCCCAGACATCACAGCCGATACAGTGGCACGAGCCCTACTGACCGGCTGGATATTCTGTTTCGGTTGCCCCACAGACCATCACCACCGACCAGGGACGTCAGTTTGAATCTCAACTCTTCCACTCCCTGGCCAAGCTCTGTGGCATTCAAATCTCGCGAACAACTGCTCACCACCCAGCGGCTAACGGACAAGTGGAACGTTTCCACCGAACACAAGAGACAGCCATCATGTGCCACGCAGACCAACACTGGACAGAAGCCCTACCCCTGGTTTACATTCTTCTTATATATATATATATATACATATATTCGAACCGACCACCTCCCAAATACAGGTCTGAATTGCCAACCCCTGACGCAACATGGTCCCACAACAAAGAGTGACCACTTTCCCAAACAGCACCAACCAGTTGGCCCTCCCAATGAAGACACAGTGTGCCCTCCACATTGCAGGAACCTAACCCTTATGCACTCTTGCACCAGCCTCATGCCTGACAGAAATTTTTCGTGGTTTGCCTCAGTCCGAGCAATTTCTAGGATAGCACCAGACTCTGACGCAGTCCCCTTCACCGGTGTCTGTGCTATCGCCTTCGTCCGCGTTTGTGATGTCCCCTTCATGGGCGTCTATGCTGTGGCTGTCGTCCTTCGCTGCCGTTGGGTGTGTTCTGGCCGTCACCGTCGCTGGTCAGGGGGCTGTCGCGTTCGTCGTTCGGTGGGCTGTCACCCTCGCCGTTCCCTGTGCTGTCGCCATGGGCTGTACTGTTGCTGTCGCCGTTGGCTGTGCTGCCACATTCGTCGTTGGCTAT